TACTATTACTATTACTAATTACTATTAGTATTACTATTACTATTGTTACTATTACTATTATTACTGAGAAGGTCAAACTCTGAAAAGCCGAGCTTGAATTTTACAAAACCTGGCGCAATTCGTGTTTGAAAATGAAAAACATTTCCATTCTTTGCAAAAAATGCTCCCCAAACACGAAGCAAGCTCAATAAACCCTAAACCTTAAACTTCAAACCCTAAACCCTAAACCCTCAATGTTCTGAAGAAAATGTCAAAGGGAGACAAAGGCTTGCAGCTGACCACTGGCGTGCTCAGCAACACCAAAAAGCCTTCCCCTCAACTTTAGATACGCGTTGCTGCAGCACCCCAAGCAGGTGACGTTCATATTTGTGTCTGCACTGTCTTTGGCTCGTAAGCAGAGCTTTGCACACGTGCGCACCGCCTGAACTCATAGCAGCGGTCTCAGATGTGCAATCTGGTGATGTCCGGCTGTTTATATGTAACGCTTCAGCATGGGGTTCTGAGGTCTTGGCAATCCCTCGGCTAGTTGCACCGTAACGGTGCCGGCCTGACCTTGAAACTTGCCAATGCATGCATGCATGCATCCACATTCACAATCCCAACAGAATACCGCTGGTAGTAATAGAATAGTGACATTATTAACTTAAGTACTACCCGTGCATGGGTGCATTAATAACAAAAACCCCGTCAGTGACCCAGAGGCCATGCCCTACAAGCGAGTTGCCATCTGCAAAAAAATCGACTGTGGCCGCAAGGCACACGCAACAGCACCGTATGAAGTCTGCCCATCCCCGCTTTGCCAGGAAGGGATATCCACGCGCGGCGTCTGCGCCTACTGCCGTAGCTTCAAGCGGCGCCGTGGCGGTGAGATGGCCCGCCTCCCCACAGCCCGCATCCCAGAACAGAAACATGGCATCCTTGCCAACATGCTATGAACGATGCATGTCCATGCAAGGCCGAGCGAGTCCAGATCCTCGAAGGGCAAGCTGAGGAACTGCCACTATAATCTTCGAACAGACGTTAAATTCAGCACCGACAGGGCTGGTGGGGCGCAGACTTGTCAGCGGCCGAGATCGAGGAACGCCATGCAGCAGTCCACAACCCAGTGCGTTCATCACTGCAGCTTGATACTCTCCACTTGCGAAGACCCTCTCAGTGGGCCCGGCGTGTCCGAGCAAGCAATAGTAAATAGTAATAGTAGATAGTAATCGCTATTCGTAATAGAAAACTGCAATAGTGGATACTCGTAGTGACAGTAATGCTAATACTAAATAGACCTAGTAAGCAGTAAATGGTGAACGGTAATTAAGCACACACAGGAAATATTATGTAGTACATAGTGGGAGGAAATGGTAACAGTAGATAGTAATAGTAATTAGTAATATTAAAATACACAAAGCAGTGAATAGTAGATACCAGTAGTAGATGGTAAATGAAAAGAGCAAATAGTCATGGTAAATGGTGATGGTAAATAGTAATAGTAAGTAGTAATAGTAACTAGTAAGCAGTACCGGTACATAGTAACAGTAAATATAGCACTGTTAGTTGCAAATGGTAATTGTACATACATAGTAAGAGCAAATTGTAAAAGTACATATTAATAGCAAGTCGTGAGTTAGGACTTTATGTACATGTAAGAAGACACAAGCATTGATGGAAAGAAAGAAGGGGACAACGAAGCGTGAGATGAGGTTTTCATCTTCTTGTACTTTTCTCGTAGTATTGTTTCGGGTGGACTGTCCAGATGATGCCATGAGATACACGTTGCTCTTGTGCTTGCTAGGAATGAATGCATTCTCAAGCCCATGAGTGCAGGATATCTCGCAGAAAGTTTGTTGAGATTTGTGCCTCCAAGCTTCAAATGATGAGCGAAAAGGAGGCTGGGGAACTTTGCATTCCATCAACACAACCATGGACATGTTGCAGGCAACCTTGCTATTTCTTCACTTCACGAATGCTGATCCTTGGAGTGGCACTGTCTGGGACTGATTCTGCGTTCTTTGCCTGCCATCCGGATTTAATTTTTTCACTTGCTTTGCGGAGGTCAGTGAGTTCGCGTCGCTACAACCTGAGAGCGCCAAGAGAAGCCTTGAAAAGGACCACTATCATCTACCCAACCTCCCGCACGCATCGCGAGGTATAAAGACTTCAGCATAACGGATGAGGCACGTTTGCTGGAGATCTGGGCAGGAATAAATGTAACATCTGTGCAGGAATGGGCGTATGTTGTGGCCAGCAAGCAGGAGGCTGCTGGCTGCACTGTTCTGCTTTAGCGCTTTAGCCTGGATGCGCCGAAGGCGAAGTCTGCCAAGTCTACAGCAATCCCATTCTCTTCGGCGCCCTCAGGCAACATTGTGAGCCGACATGAGATGCGCAGGGCAGTCACGCAGGTCGAGTTTGTGATGCATGCCTCAGGTGTGAGCACTGGATTGTATCATCGATCGATTAGTGCACCAGACTCATGCTGTTAAGACGGTGCATGCGTTCTTTTGCAACATCGGTATTTGACTTGCGCTGTTCTCCAGGTCAACCAAGTAAGTGAACAGAGAACCGCGCGTGCAGTCCCGGCCTGTACGTTGTAGAAGAAAGTTGCGGTTGGAGAATATCTGGAGACAACCATGGTGGACGAGTCGATTGTTTTTGCAGGTAGAAAGCAGCCTGCCGTCTTAGTCTTATAGCCTGGCAGGAGTCTTCTACTCCGGTGAGTCAAGGCCAGACACACCTTTTCAGTGCGTCCTTGAGGTCTGCTAGATGGTAACACATTTTCTAACGCTTTTTGATGTTTTCCGATGAACAAGGGAACAGCGCAGCTTCAACGATGAGCCAAGCAGTCCCTGCCGGGAAAATGTACTCCTCCAAGAGGACGCCAAAAGCAAGAGAAAATCGAATCTGAGAATCGATTTTGCCTTGAGGAGCGTGCCGTGGAGGCAGCAGCAGAAGCCTTGGGACATCTCCTCAGAGTCTCAACTTGAAACTGCACTAGAAACTAAGCTCAACGGCTCTAAGGCGCCGTCTGTGATGGCTGGCATCGACCTGCCTGTGGCAATGGAGGCACAGAAGGCAGTCTCAGTCTGCAAGCGAGTTCAAGAGCTGCGCAGGCGAAAACCGCCCTCTGTTTCCGTCCACGCGGGATTCCCAAAAACCCTGGAAGCATGTGGATCTGTGCAGCCGGCCATGTCATGCTGTAGTCTTGGGCATGCTGTAGTCTTGGCCAAAACTGTGCTCTTCTTCTGTTTTCTACGAGTCATTGCATAGATCGTCATCATGGCTGCCACACAAATTTCAGCCGAGGTGGGGAGACGTTTTCTACCAAGGGCAAGTCGGCGCTGGATCAGCCATGGATATCGAGCGCTACTTAGTACATGAAGTCTCCAGAGGTGCCTGAAGCAGCCAGACGATTCGCTAGAACCCCTTGCCCAAACTGAGGAACCACGCCGACACCCACACCCGTAGAGGAGTCTGGTCCCCGGAGCAAACTGCAAGCATTTCAGCCTGCCTAGTGGCTTTGACATTGAGGAGTGGCGAGTCCAGGCTCGCGAATGTCGCTTTGTGAAAAAGCCGCACATGTAGTCAGCTGCATCTGTCACTTTAGGCTATGCAGCAGTTCAGAGTACAACGCACCAAACATCTGTGTATGTTCGTGTTAAGTGTGCTCAAAGACCAGTGCTGCTCAAGCACTTTGTGAGGCGTGGCGGTGTCCTACCAGCCGTCAGGAGATGGAACCGGTGTTTTGTGCAAAGCAGGCCGGTATCCGTTGAGAAATGTCCTCCCCATTGTGCATGTTGCCCCGCACCTCCGTGACAGCAGCAATCTCTTGACCTCCGCTTGTCAGTTGTCTGGAACCCGTCTGCTGCAGTATCTGGCCACAGGTCAGCTGGCAACGTAGTTGTGCATTGTGATTGATTCTTGGCGTAAACTCCCAACATGGCTCGAAGAGGCTCCGGACAACGAGTGACAGCCAAATTTCGAATCTAGCACCAGAAGTGTATGCAGAACAAACAGCCAAGCCTTGGACCATGCCCAGGTGGTTGCGTGGGGTTGGCTTTGCTGGCTTTGCATGTTGCTAGGTTGCCGATTGGTGGCCCTATACCAGCATCCCGCCGTCACCAAGACTGAAGTTCAAGCGCAAATTGCGCGCTTGACGTTTGCTGCGTTGTAAAGATGACACTTGTCTGCGGGAGCTCGAGCAAGTGTTTGGCGGTTCATATTCATGATTCAATACCATACAGACATGGACTCTGAGTATGACGCTGGCTTTCAAATGTGCTTGCAATGTTCAGGTCCCAGATTCCTCATTCGCAGCTCAGAGAAACACTTTCCCTTCCAGACAGGCATCTGGGATATATCAGCGCTAGAGCTGATGAGCTGGCAAAGTCAACTGCAGAATATCTGTGCCACGTCAAGTTGACGGCACGAGGAAACTTATTTTGGCCTTCATACAAGCAGAGTGGGCTCCAGGCACCAGGACTATCTATGCGAATACATGCGAATACGCTGCCCTGAGTTTGGAGCAGAGCGCCGCCATGGCGACGGTACAGCTTCCCATGACAATGGAGGCCCGCTGGGCATCACAGGGGCTTTTCTCACCAACTTTTAACTAGTCAGGTGCGGGAGGGTGCGCCTGAGCTGCACTGGGCATAGCGTTGGGCTGAGGCACTTGTTGGCGGTCTGGAGCCAGAGGGCGGCTTTGATCCGCAGTTCTGCCCAGTGACGGGCCTCAGAGCTTGGAGTGCCATGGCAAACGCAAGAGCGTGTTTGGCTGATCAGGTCAAAGCCCTGCCCATCAAGAGAACGCATCGCGTCCTCCCACCAAGGTTTCTTTTCTTTTGGCAGTGAGACATAAGAAATGCCCTTGCTCACAGTCTGCTTAACGCCACGAAGAAGCACTTGCGCTGCTGCCACTGCTGCTGTCGCTTCTGAGGTGCGCACGTTGCCTGGCTTTCACCTACTCTGCCTGGATGCTGGCAAGGAGGCACGCGACTGCCGAGAAAATGTTGTCATCCGTGGATCAGACGGGCAGTCTTCTCCTCATGGTGTGAGCAGTTGCTGAGCATCTCCAGGCTATGGCACGGGGAAGCTATGAAGCCTTCGGGCAGCGTTTTCAATGCGAGGGCCTGGAGTATCTGCACCAAGACGACAAGGCCGGGGGTAGAGTCATGAGTCGAACCGAATGCACTTCACGTGGCTAGCTGGCAACAAGGTCTTCGTCTGTCCGCAGGATCAGAAGGCTTGCCGCTGGCATCAGTTGCCTTAGTTCGGATGACTTACCACTCTGTGCTTCTGACAGGCATTTCTGAACCAGATGTCCATGAGATATCACCAGTATATCCGGCATGAGCTCCAGGATTGGATCGAGGGCCGTGCTTTCAGTCTTGTTGGATTCTTCGAGAGCATGTAAAGCTGCTTCTTGGGAACATGGGCTGAGGAGCGCAAGGCTGAAAGGAAGCGCCTCCGTGAGCGTGCCGAGGCGACGGAGGTTCTTGGGCAATGCGGATTCCCAGCTTGGCCTCTTTCAGGAGAGAAAAGCTCGAGCTGACCGGCATCGACAGCAGCCAGAACCAGCGAGGCTTCCGGGTGCAAAGCTTGCTTCCGGGCATTGTGGGCCTCATTGCAGAGACTTCTCCAGGGCAGTTGTTGCGAATCCAACTCCTGCTGTCTTTCCAGATCCAGCAGGCCATTGCTTTGCGGTAAAGCAGGCACACCCAGCTTTTCTCGCATGCCAGGACTGGATGTCAAGCACAACCTCGTCTCCAGTGTTCCTGAAACGCCGCCGCCTGTCAACAACGAGGAACTTGTCTTATGGTTGTAGGGCAGGGCTGGCGCTGCCATCTGGTGCCTGGGCTTCATGAGTCATGAGAAATTAGTTCAATCGACATTGGTTGCAGAAGTGTGCAGGATTGCGATTATGCACGCGTTTTCCTGCACCATCCGGTACAAAGTCGTCCCACATTGTTTGATGATGATGCCGGCAGTATTTCCGTCATGAGCACATCAAAGTAAAGCAGTGAGTCGCTACGCGCAGTCTCGCTAAAGAGATGGGATGCTGGTGGTTTCGGCAATGATTCGTTTGTAGACTGGAGAACATCATTGAAAGGCACTTGGGCCTCCCTGGAATGGTAGTCGGACGAGGGAAGTGAGTGGGTTGGGCGCGCAGGCACGCATGCCCTTTGCGGGGTCTGCCTCACCCATAGAGGACGAGAGCGTCGTGGCTGCGTCCCCCAGAGGCGCGCAGCCATGTCCAAACCACAACCTCATCGCGACCATGCTGGACAACATGTAGAAGCATGATCGCCCATCAAGAGCATGTCGAGCCAGCAGATGCGCGCACTGGACGTGCCAGCTGGATAACAAAGGTGAAGCGCACTCACAGCTGTAGTGGGACGTGTGATCTTCTGTGCATCACGTGCATCCATTTCTTGGAACACCAACAGTGGCCCCGCACAGATTATTTTTGGAAAAGCTTTCGCGAAGAAAGAAACTGCCATGGCGCAATGGAGAAGCGTTCAAGTACGAAAACCCCCCTTGAGAGAGGGAGAAAAGTGAGCTGCACCAAGCGACACAGAACATCTTCAAGATCAGCATGGACCTATTGTGGTTCTGTATTTGACAAATACTGTAGCTGGCGTGAGAACAATTAATGTGAGGTTGGAGGAAGGACTGCCGATCCCGAACGCATCAGCTGAGCAGAGTCTGGAATCCATGGAGAACCAGGTAGAGAGCGGACTAGGCTGGCAGGCTAAGTGAGCAAACTGGCAAGAAACACAGTTTCAACAATGGGAGCAGCACTGTAAATTGTTGTCAGGGGTGCCAGACTTGTGGCATACGCTAAGCAGTAGATGTTCAGGCAGAATTCGGCATGCGACCAGGCAACCCCACACTGTCAGCATGACACTGCGGATATTTTCATTTTCCATACCGCAGAGCGAGATAATGCAAGACAATGAAACTGGAAGCTAACCCGAGACTCGACACAATTAAGCGGCACTTTCAAAGATGGAGACAGAGCTCACCCTTAAGAAGATGAAAAAACAATAAAAGGGTACACTGCAGTTCTTTGTTGTTAGGCTGGATTGGTGACATTCATGCATGAACATGAAAGAGCAGGATCCTATATCAATCCACGAACTTGAGTGGCTTCTGTGGTTTTTCGAAGGGTAAGACGCATGGAGAGGGGGGCGGGGTCGAGTGGGCATCCTTTTTGCGTCAGACACCACTGGGGTGCGGTCCGCTGGCCCCCTCCAGAAAAGTTCCAGAGGGGTCGAGTGGGCATCCTCAGAGTTTTTCGACTCGGACTTCAAATGAAATCTGGGACTTTCGTCTGGAGGCGTGTCGTGCGTATGGTGAACCCCAAACCCGAAAAGCCCCTAAACCCTAAAAACACCTAAACCCTAATGACCCTAAACCCTAAAAACCCTAAACTCTAAAAACCCTAAATCCTAAAAACCCTTAACCCTAAAAGCCCTAAACCATGCGGTGGAGAAAAGGCGCGTCAAAAAAAACAAACCTAAACCGTAAAGCCCTTAAAAATCTCCAAAAACTTACAAACCATAGAACCACCTAAACCCTAACAGCCCTAAACCCTAAAAACCTAAACCGTAAAGCCCCTAAACATTCCCAACAAACCCATTGAAAGCATTAGAGCCACCTAAACCCTAAAAACCC